TACTTCACTTTCACATTCCTTTTTGCAGACTTTGTGAAAGTTGCAAAACTCTGTAAATTTGTGGAACATTGCTATAAAGAATATGTTCCCTATGGTTATAGAGTGTTTTTATATGCATTTCGAAAGAATAAGATAATATATGTTAAATTAAAATAGAGAAGTTACTTTCCTGTGGTTTCCGATGATTAGTCTTTGTAGATTTTCCATTACATTTGAACTGTATCAGCTTTAAATAAATAAATAAAAACAATGTTTACTTGATCATAATGATGTCACTCCCTGTGTCTCCAGTCTCACATCCAGAGCACCTCAGACAGAATCCAGTTCAACGACTTGCAGTCGCTGCTGTGTGCCACTCTACAGGTTAGACACCCTGAGCTGTCAATCAAAACAGATTCCACCTCTGCCTGGTGTTTGTGCTCTAGCGTGACAGTTTCACCTCCTCCTTGTTGCAGAATGTCCTCCGTAAGGTGCAGCATCAGGACGCCCTGCAGATCTCGGACGTGGTCATGGCGTCTCTGCTGCGGATGTTTCAGAGCACAGCTGGGTCTGGAGGCGTTCAGGAGGACGCTCTCATGGCCGTTTCCACGCTGGTCGAAGGTACACATTTTAAACAAACATGCATGCGCACACAATGCCATCAGACCAGCACAGACGGTGTGTGTGTGTCACAGGGAGGCTGAAGTCCTTGTATCGTTTTGTGTTTCAGTTCTGGGCAGCGACTTTCAGAAGTACATGGAGCCCTTCAAGCCTTTCCTGGGAATCGGACTGAAGAACTACGCCGAGTATCAGGTGAGTCTTGACTATTAAAGTCATTGTTACTTTCTGTGTTCTGTTTGTGGATAATTCATCTGATCCAGGCTTTACATTCACGCATAAAAAAAAAAACGGCTTTGCACGGAAAAAACACAACATATTTTCATCTAAACAAAGATTATGGTTTAAACTCCTAATTCAGGTTTGAACTACAAATCTCATTCACAACCATACATCCTGCTTCCCTCTCATCACCCTGCTTGACTGCTTTATGCATTTTGGTCAATTTAGAGAGCAGAAAAGAAATAAATAGTTGTGCAGTCACAGATTGTTAGAAGTCTGCTTTAAATTATGATCTGCAGTGAATAAACAGAATGTCTCATAATATTGTACTTTATCTCAGCAATATGCATGAAATGAAATGCACTGTAGATATTTAGATTCTAAAAAGTGGGACATGTTGAGACCTTTCAGTAAGTCATCTGAATATTAAAACACAATTGAAAGGAAAACGTGGATACATTGTTGATGTTTGTGTTTTCAGGTGTGTCTGGCAGCTGTCGGTCTGGTGTGCGACCTGTGCAGAGCTCTGATGTCAAACATCCTGCCTTACTGTGACGAGATCATGCAGCTGCTGCTGGAGAACCTCGGGGTGAGGAAGACTAGGGAGTCCTGTCTCATTGTCGCTGTCTCTCTTTACACACTCTCCCCCTGTCTCTCTCTCTCTCTTCACTATGAACGTGTGTGTGTGTTTGGTCTGTGATGATAAACATGCACCACGCTGAAAGTGTGATGTAAAACACCAACCACATTAATCTGAGACCTGACGTTCTGTCTTTACCTGCATGCTTCTGTCTTCAAAAATTGTCGTTTACTTTTTGTACATTGTTGTCGAGCTGTGCTAACGTGTCTCTGTCCGTGTTCAGAATGAGAATGTCCATCGGTCGGTGAAGCCCCAGATCCTCTCTGCGTTCGGTGACATCGCCCTGGCCATCGGAGGAGAGTTTAAGAAATACTTGGACATCGTCCTGGACACCCTGCAGCAGGCATCACAGGCACAGGTTGACAAGGTAAACACACACAAACAGGTCATTAAGGTCAATCTATGGGATTAAATATCATCTAAGGTATTAGCACATTTATATTCTTGCTGACACCTGATGCTCCATGTTAGGCTGTATCTGAAGCCAGTACCAATGCTCAAGTCTTATTGGCTTTGCAAGCGGAGTATTACTTCATCAGACGGTTTTGTTTTCTCTGTTTGCAGACGGACTACGACATGGTGGACTATCTTAACGAGTTGAGGGAGGGCTGTCTGGAGGCGTACACTGGGATCATCCAGGGCCTGAAGGGGGACCAAGAGAACGTGCACCGTAAGTACACACACACACTTGCACACACAGTGTCATGTGACGTCGGTTCCTCCTCCTGTCTGAAGTCCTTCAGGAGGATTTTACGACGTCACAGAGAAACGGGTCTTTTTCACCCAGAGAGCTTCAGCTGCACCCCAGCGCAATCAAAGCTTCCTGGTTTTGCAAGACCCGACAAATAAATAAAAACGTGCTAATTATAATACAATATTGAAAAAAAAAATGTATAAATGTAACTACACAAAATGCCATTTTCTCTCCTTCTTATCCTCTGTTCTTCTTCCTCACCTCTTTTTCTTTCTCACCTATTTCCATGTCCACCTGCTGGTCCCTCTTTTTTTATATTCATCTTCTGTTGTTTGTAACTTCTTGTCCTCCTCTCTCCTATCTGTAGCTGATGTGATGTTGGTTCAGCCTCGGGTAGAGTTCATCCTCTCCTTCATCACCACATAGCCGAGGATGAGGATCACTCTGATGGAGTCGTGGCAAACGCTGCAGGACTCATCGGGTAAGGATGGAAGGGAAAGTGGGGAGAGAGTGGATTGACAGATTTGGTGTGTGTGTGTTCGGTCTGTGAAGAGAAATCATGCACCACTCTGAAAGTGTGATGTTATACCAACCACAACATCTGAGACCGACACAAAAATGAAACTGGATCTAGTGATCACTGGTTTCCTGGAAATTTAGAAGTTATCCAGATGAATGATATCTTGTGGCCAGTCTGGTTTTGTTTGAATATGAAACTTTTCTTTAAGCATTACTTTGCCTCCACCTACAGTATATCAAATGTTAAACTGCCAATTTCAGCAGATTTCAGGTATTTGCACTCAGCAGAGCATGAACTGACCCGTTGTTGACTAAGACGATCGAGACGTTAACATTTGTTTTTCTCTTCATTTTAGATCGTGGTGAAAATAATCTTTTGTTGATTTTCTTATATTTTTTTCTGTGTCTTCAGCGATCTGTGCACGGCGTTTGGTAAAGATGTAATGAAGCTGGTGGAGGTTCGTCCGCTCATCAACGACCTGCTGACAGAGGGTCGACGCTCCAAAACCACCAAGACCAAGACGCTGGCCACATGGGCCACCAAGGAGCTCCGCAAGCTCAAGAGCCAGGCCTGGTATGATCAAACACACACTTACCTAAAAAACTAGAAAACTGTACGTAGCCAAGTATGGAAACTTTAGTGTTTTATTTGGTCTATGAAGAGAAATCATGCACCACTCTGACAGTGTGATGTACAATCAACCACGTTATCTGAGACCAACGCAAGCACTGGAACCAATCATTGATCAGCTGATCACCAGTGATCCAATCACGTTATCAACTAATCATCACCGCGGCTCACTATTTGATTATTTCTTTCAGTCCCCATGATGTGAAAAATACATTCTCACCGTTTTAATCCAGCATTCCTGTGTTACATCGTCATTTATCTGCCAAATATCTTTCATTTAAGCATTTTTATTCTTACATTAAAAACACTGAATTTTTCTCTTCCTGTAAAATGTTTTAATTTCTGATGACTCATCCTGCACTCAGGGGCTTTGACTATTTTTTACAGCCACTTAAAAAGCTATGTCCAAACCAACAATCCAAATTCTTCAGTTATGTCTCATCCTTCATCTGATGCAACTATGCCGGGAATTACAAGAGAAAATGTTTTTATTGAAGATCTCATGTTGCAGCTCTGCTTTTAGACTACTTTAGTTTTTAACCATCCTGTAATATGGAGATAGTGGGTCTGAATAACAAAGAGGTTCAAAAAGTTTTTAAAGGTTCAGCCTTCAGCAGTGAAACAGGAAGTAATAACTCCAATGTATTCCCTGTTACATGAGTTTAACATGCTGGATCAAGGTAGAGCCCCACGGTCAGAGACTGCAGTCCTCAAAGCATGTGGTTCAAATCTGATATGTTGCTCCTTTCAAGCAGGAAACCTGGACTTTAGGGGTGAAGCCTGATTAGGCATGGTACTGAAGTGAGAGCCGATTAGAAACAAGAAGGTCTGACTTCTCTTCTTTTTCTCCCAGATTGTTGCCGGTCGGGAAAGAGAGATTTTTGAGAGATCGACATCAGTGAACAATGAGGACAAACTGCCCCACTGGAAAAAACTCTTCTGTCTTTGTGTCGAGCGTCCGGTCGAAGCAGAAGTGAGACGAAGTGTGAGCTGAGTGAGTGTCTGTGTGTGAGAGAGAGAGAGAGAGACGTGTGAGCGAGCGAGCGAGAGACGATGACATCACACCACCTTCAGTTCCGGCAGGCGACAACTCCCCCCTACTCCCAAAACAACTCCCCTCCTTTTTCCTGGACGGCCTGTGGACTGGACTTTGACTCCCCCCTCTTCTAATTCCCCAAAATCAAAACAAACAAAAACTCACCCTCCAGCCCTCCCCCCTCCTCCTCCTCCCTCAAACCACCTCTCTCGCTGTAGCCGGGCTCTCCAACGACATCACGATGACGTCACTGACCCGCCGCCGCCCCCGGAGCCAGGGGGAGGGGGGGAGGAGGGGAAATAGATAAAAACACGACGAGAAAATAAAAGACTTTTGTGGAATCAAAGCTACAAAGCGAGCGGACTCAGTGGACTTCTGTGGAAACTTTAGATTTTGGTTGCTCTTATTTTTTCTTCTTTTTCTTCCTGCGAGCACTCTAAACGGCGACGGAGATCTGACGGACACCTCCACCTGCTCAGTCTCCGGTCTTCGATGCTCTTATCCAAACAACAACAGCACTAAATTCCTTCAACACAAAAGTCAAAACCGACGAGGAATCCTCCGAGGAGCGAGTGCCAAATGGAATAGTTTAGCGGAAATAAAGCGCGCGGTGTGAGCTGCTGGTGAAGCGTTTCAGTTTTTATTTCCCTGCTGCACTTGGTTTGGGAACAGGTCACTCACCATTTTTGCTTGTTTAAAAAAAAAAATTCAGAGAATTGAAGACATTTGTATAAGGTTATATTTTTCCATTGCTATGATGAAAATAAAGTAAAAAACAATAAAATGATATGAAACATTCCCCAAGCAGTTCTGGTGATTTGGCTCTTGTCATCTGTCGGACTTGTGGACTCAAACCTTTTGGACTCTGCTGATTGGAAGCTGAACTTTGGCCGCTGCCCACTGACGGTTTGTTTCAGCCACAAAGAACCTGATTTTTTTTTGATTTTTTTTTACTCTACTCACTTCCTGGCTTGTTTGGTCGCAGCAGCTCTCGGCTCCCCGCTGACGGGGAGTTCTTTCGGGACGTTGAGTTTGTAGTTTGGGTGATAATCCGAGAAAGCTGCGAGCACGCTCAGTACCGTCTGTCGCCTTCACTCCGGGGTCGGATCACTTCACCTTCACTCATTAACGACAAAAAGTCTCATCAGGAAACAAAAACTCAAATATGATTTTCTCTGGAAGTGAAGTGTTTCCAGCCTCGGAGGGCTTTTTTTTTTTTTTTTTTTTTTTTTTTTTTTGGTGGAGGTGCGGCAGCCGTAGGGAGGACGTACTTCCTGTGTTGAAATGAATGAACCTGGCAACTCGATTACTGAATTGTGAATCATTTAAAGCCAATCTGCTTTTTATTTCATATTCAACTTTAGTGAACTAATAAAGTCTATATTGTACTGAACCATCGGCTGCTACTTCTTCTGACCACACAGATACTCACACACCTAACAGCAAAACACGAGCACAAAAATAAACACACCTGAGTGTCTAAATCAGTTGAGATCAGGAAGTCTAGTCTCCAGCTTGTGTTTCAAATGTTTGAGGGGGATTGGGATTTCTTTGATCCAACATTATTTTTATGTTGCACTTTAATTGTTAGTGACAAAGAAACCGGAACAGGCTTGTAAAAAGATGGTGTCCTGCTCGACTGCTAACACTCAGTTTCTCTGCTCGCTGTTACAAATTTGTATTGATCGTCATGACCTCGTCTTCAGTCTGAAATGTGTCTCTCATCACAGCAGCTCCATTTGAAACACAAAAATGTTGACTGTATGAGGAGATGGGTGATATGACAGCACTATCTACTTACTGCAGTAGAGGTCATTAGACCCGCCTCCTGCATTTTAACAGATAAGACCAGGGTCAAACTAGAGCATCCAAAAACATGTCCTGTGTTTTTTCTCATAAATCGTTTCTGTCTTTAAAGTTAATTTTTATCCCGAGTATATTTTTTTTACAAGATTAGTTTAAGGCAGTTATTTGATGCTATGAAAGGGGTTTAACATTGAGATGACAGTTCTCTTGACAAATGTGACTCCTGCTGTGCCTTGTGCACTGGATTAGTAGAGTAGAAGAGCAGGGAGTTCCCAGAGGGTGGCATGCCCCCCTTGAATTCTTATTGGCCACCCCAAAATCCTTAACCATGATTGACTATTTGCCTTGCCAGAGATGGGACTCGTGTTGAAATCCAATCATATATACGTTAAATTGTGACTCTGGACATAGGCCTGCATATTGTTTTGAGTCCTTGAGAAGAGAAATATGTTGTGCCAGTATCTTGTGTTACTTTAAAGTCACCAGTTTCATTGTGAAACTTCTGCACACAAAAAAACAACAAAAAAAGCATCACTGCTTGCATGATATTTATTGTGTTATCTCCACAAAACAAAGCTAGTTTTCCAGAGATAACAAGTTTATTCTAGTTCACTTCTGGAGAATTTCCTCTTATTTTTCTTGTTATTCTAAAATACTGTTTACCAAACAATAGGCTGGTCTTTATGCAGTCAATGGGTCACTGTGATGGGCCAGACAACGACATGGATACATGTCTGCTTAGACTGCTTAAATGAATACCTCCAGTGGGGTCAATACAGTTTTAATATGCACAACACTCTATTAAATGAAATGTAAAGAATATTGAAACACAAAACAATGACATGAAATACTGTAAAATAACACAAAAATGAAAGAATTAAAGCCAAATGTGCTAATATTAATTTAGTTTGAACTAGCCTTCTGAAATCAATAAGTACATAATCGCTTAATGGAGATGCTGATGGGCAGGTTAATTAACATTTTAAAGATTTTTTAGATATATTTAAAAACAAATAACAAATAAACAAATAAAAGGATCAATCATATGAGGGACAAAAAATGACTAAAGTATAAATAAATAAATAAATGTTGGGAGAAATGCATACAATAATGTATAAATAAATAAATAATTAAATAAATGCATCAATAAATATATAAATGCTGAAAACAATATATCAATGAATAAATAATAAATACAATTTGTGAATGAAAAAGGCTATTTATATATTTTTACATGTATTTATTCATTTATTAGCATGTTTTTACAGTTATATATGTATCAATGCATACATTTCCACATGAATTGAGTTATTAATTTATTTCCGTATTTTTACATTTACACATCTATTTATTTCTGTGTCCAGGTTGTAAGAGGAGAAGTATATAAATTAAATTTGCTTCTGTCTGTTTTTCAAAATTGACCAATCCTACTTCAGTAATTTTAGGACGGCCCACTTAATTTACATATTTACTTTTCCTTGTACAACATGGACACAGAAATACATACATAAATATATGAATATATTTATATATTACTTTATATGAATTGTTGCATTTATATATATTTATATATTTATTGATGCATTTATTTATTTATTTATTTATACATTATTGTATGCATTTCTCCCAACATTTATTTATTCATTTATTTATTTATTTACACTTTAGTCATTTTTTGTCCCTCATACAATCAGAGCTGTCGGTGTGTGTGTTCATTCGTTGATCACACGCACACTCACATGGACGCGCAGAGAGAGAGAGAGAGAGATAGAGAGAGAGAGAGAGAGAGAGAGAGAGAGAGAGACCCCCGGTAGTGACGGAGGCTCTCCGGTACTTGGAGGTGTTTTGCAGATGGAGGTTTCGGTTTCGGGGTCCACCGAGCCTCTGTTTATCAATCAGCACTGATCGATTATTGATGCCACCGCTGCGCAGCCGCCAACCCCCCCGCGCCCACCCCCGCGACCCCCGTCCTCCATCATGTTCTCTCACCGGAGGATGAGTCGGTAGGTGGCTAACAGCGAGCTAACGTTACCGAGCAAGGCTGCACCGGGCGGGTTTTTCTCATGTCTCTTCATGTTCTGACGTCGTTCCGAGGAGCCGTTACCGTCCGGACCGGCTGTGGGTCCGTGCTCGGCGGGGAGTCCCGTTAGCGGGAGGATGCAGCAGCTAGCCTCCGTTAGCTCCGCCGCTGTTTATTTATCTCGCTGTTATGTAAGTGCGGAGCGCGTTTAGCCGCCGAGCTAACGTTTTGCCTGTCAGCATGAATGACGCGCAGCAAGACCTGTCTCCAGACTTCGTCCTGATGCGGCTTGTGTCCGCGGCCGAGTATGACAGGCTGGACGAGCCCGACGACCTGATGTCCGGGGGCGGCGGCGGCGGCTTCGGGCCCGTTAAGTCCGTGCTGGGTCACCACGGCGGGGGCTTTGATCTGGACCCCAGCGGCCCCTCGCCAGGCCTCGGCTCGGCCTCCCCGCACTACAGCTCGCCGCTTCCCGGGAA